TGTAGTTCAATGCAGAAGAGCAGACCTGAAGGACTGTGTTATAAACAAATCACAGAAAAAAGGAATTTCAAGTTTTTTGAAATGTTAGCCAACCACTTAGGAAATGAGAGTGGGGTGGGGGTGGAGAATTCCTAAATGCTAATGTACGCCTCACCCCCTACCCCTTAAAAAGTACAGCGATTCCCGACTTACAGTGGTTCGACTTACGATTTTTAGACTTTCTGATGATGTGTTAGCGATTCACATTGAGTAGAAACCATACTTCAAATTTTGATTTTAATTTTTTCCTGGCTAGCGATAATTGGTAGGATACTCTCTCGTGATGCCGGCTGGGCAAGGGCAGTGAGCGCAATAATCCGACACCCAGGCACCAGGGTAAACACCCCATGCCCGCACTCTGCCGGGGACTGTGCAGCCAGTTTTGTTGGTTTGTCTGTTTGTCTGTTTTATTGCACTCAGCACATTTAAGGTAGGCTTGGCTAAGCTATGATGTTCAGGAGGTTAAGTGTATTAAGTGCATTTTTGACTTAGAATATTTTCGTCTCACACTGGATGTAACCCCATGGTAAGTACAGCAGCGCCTGGGCTGTACTCATTCCTGTCCGATTAATAAAGAAGAGGAGCTGTGTTTGTCCAGAGACCTCGCCTTTGTGGTAAACATATGAGGCATGTGGAAGTGTAACTGGGAAATCTTATGTTCACGTTTGGCATTCCCCTCTAGCCCAGCACTGACATTACTCCCTTTACCTTCTGGGAAACCCCATGAAATGTCAGTTTTTGTAGTTTCAGGAAGCATTGAAGTGCATATGTTGAATATTTAAAATGATATTTTGTCTGTTGTTCTGGTCTCCTGAAACTAAACCCTAAGTAAGCACACACTGGAAAAGAAGAACACTGTAATAAAAATATTTTCTCAAAATGTGAGATCTAGTCCCAGATCCATCCCTAACAACCTCTCCAAGTCTATAAGAGTTTAGTTTATGTAGCTGAGTAGACAGCCCTGCCCAGCTTCTTATACCTGTGAGAATAATTAGGGAAAGCAGACAAAATAAAAATAATGTGATTGCACCGTGAACAAAAATTAGCCAGTTCTACAAACGGCGTTACTGTATTTTCTTTTCTAAAACTGTATTTTCCTGGCATCAGTAACTTACATGAAAGAAAATCTAAGACCAGTTCTGTGCTAGCATTTCAAACATAGCATGTGAAGTGGCTTTGTTTCATTTTCTGAAGCCTGGCTATGCTTACTGCTTTTTTACCATAACTAAATTACCAGGACAGCCAGTTCTTAGGCAGATATGCATAGCATTGAAATGCACAAGTACTGCAAACAACAACCATTTTCTTCGGGAAGATGACAATTAAATGTGGCATTGAAGTATCCTGAAATCCCAGCCAAGACAAACGTGAACTTCGGCAGAGAGGAGCCACCAGGGCTTTGGAAGAACGGAGCGTACTAATGGGATCATATATGTCTTTGAGCTGCTTCCTCCTTGTTACTTGGGAACTAGTGGCTGAAGTGTGGACTCTGGAGTCAGCCCGCCTGGGCTCCAATCCTATCTTCACATGCACCTATGTGAACATAGGCATGTTAATTAATGTCCCAGGTCTCATTTCAAAAATAAGGCCAATGATGGTAACCATGTCATAGAGAGATTAAGATTAAATAACTATCCATGGAAAGAGTTTGCGCAGTTTCTGCCATATAATAATAGTTTACTTTTTAAAAATATATATATATCTTTACCAATTTCAGAGAGAGTAAGGGAGAGAGAGAGACAGAAACAGAAACATCAATGGTGAGAGAGTCGTCATCGATCAGCTGCCTCCTGCACGCGCCTCACTCGGATCGGGCCTACAACCCTGACCAGGAATCAAGCCAGGATCTCCTGGATCCTAGGTCAATGCTCCACCGCTGAGCCATGCACAGCCAGGCATAATAGTTTACGTTGTTACCAGCCTAAAGGGGTTCATTTGCCTGCCTGCTTAAAGCCCAATAAGACACGAGCAGGAGTTTGTAGCAAAGAAAGAGTTTATTTTTAGGAAGCAGTCCACACCTGGAGACCGATGAGCTAATGCTCAAAGACCCGGCTCCCCCAGGGCTTCCAGCGGATGGGTTATACAGGGGAAAGATCACTAATCACGGTGACTGTGGGAATCAGGGTCATGGTCCCTACTGGTGCGGCAGTGCTAGGGCAGGGGGTGATTAGTTAATGCATTTGGTCCTGACGTCAGCCACAGCATCTCTTTGTCTAGTTTTGCTGCTTTTCTGGGCCTGGAGCTAAAACACAACTGAAGCCTAGATGTGATCTCTAGTTTGACTGAAACTCTGTCTCTGTGGTCAACAGACCTGAGGCCTTGTTCCTAAGGTTATTTAATGCTGATCAGAACCTCTTTGTCCTGAGGGCTTAAGATTAAGGGAGTGGACCCTCGAGGGAGCCGGAGGTGGGTGAGTCAGGATGCTGGATGGGGCCAGTATGCATCAAAAGGAAAGAAAGGACAAAAGTTCATACTAAAGAAGTGAAGTTTCCATGTGGTCACATATTTATTTAATGCTTACAATTTAGTGAGATCCTAAATACAGACTCTCTGTTTATTGCTACACGTCTTCTCTGAAATTAGCGCATCCAGGAAATAAATACTAACAGAGATAAAGGCATCCCAGGCAGCTGTTATGAAAAACAATCCACTTTAGCTAGACAACGTAGCATCCATACGTCATTCACATAGTTTATCAGTGTAGCATGAAGCAGTCGGAAGTCAGAAGCCAGGGAGAACCTGAACCTGGGAGAAAATCCAATATATCCAGGCTCTGTAATCTCACTCTGCAAAAGCAGAGACAGACTTGAATTACAGACATGAGCAAGACATACTTGCCTGTTCCTAAATCACAGTCAGTCCTTAACATTCCCCTAAACATCCTTTTCAGATACAGCTCCCTTCAAATATGTATTTGTTATCTCCAGGATTTGTACATATGGCTTTCCTGGCTGCATTTCAGTTCTTAGGAAACTGTATCATAAATAAGTGACAAAAAACTCCATGTCTCTTTATTTTCATTTTGGTAATACTTAAAATAAGCAAAATAATAATAATAGCCATTATTATCATCATCATCATCATCTCAAATTGGTATAAGTAGTTCCTAATGTGTGAAATTGGCAATTATTATTCAAAGAGTAAAACTAGGACTAGAGAACTTGCTCAGATTTCTTTGATTATTACCTTGTGGGTAGATAGTGTATAAAAAACAAAGTAGGTATTATTTGTTTCAGAGCTGCAGAGAGCTCTTGCATTTAGTGAATCCCACGTCCCTTTCCAGTCTTGTTGGATAAGCAGCACGCGTAGACTTGAGGTTCTCCGTCAAGACACATGATGAAAGGGCAGTGACAGCCGGGTGAGGACCTTCCCGGGCCTCTGCGCTGGCTGCAGGCCCCTTGTTAACTGTCCCTCAGGGTCCCCGAGGTGCATCTCGGCTGTGCCTCGTAATGAGGGCACCGTCTGGGTGCTCCGATGCAGCCGAGTTTTGAGAAAGCTTTGAGGGAAATCAGTCTTAACCAGAATTTTTATTTCAGCTGTCTGAGAGCAAAGCGAGGTGAGATTATCAATTTGTAATATTTGTTTAATTTTGTCTTCCATTTCTCTAAGAAGACTCAGCAAAATATAAAGGAAAATCCAAATACTTTTTTTCTTTTTCAATAGGCACTGAATGTGCATACTCTTTATGAAAGTAACAAATCCTCTTTCCTCTTCTCTAATATATAGATAGAGGTTCCAAAAATAAGGCTGTCTCTTCTTCCCTCC